TCCTGAAGTGTCCACTGCTATATGCTGATACTGTGCCTTTATTTGAAACGAAAAAAGCCCATTAAAATTCTTTTAAGTAACTTGCTGTCATGTGCTTTAAAAAAATGAATAATCAAAACACAAAGAGTAAAAGGAGGTTTTGTCTCCAAAGCAGGAAGGGAAGTATTTTTCAAACCTAAGTATGCACAACAGAGCCTGGCCACGAGCCCATTGGCATCTGTGTGTTGATCCAAATGAACTTCAAGATGTCTGTTCTCCCAGAGGACATGTACTGTTTTTAAAAAAAAAAAAAAAATCCATGACTGCTTTTAATCTACCTGAAATATGGGATACAGACACAGGATATTTTGTACTTGTTTTATACTACCCATGTTCCTTTTAGCCTGCTGCAGCATTATTATATATTTCTGTTCCTGTATCAAAGTATATAACTAACATTTCCCAGAGAACCCACCCAGGCCCATATAAAGCCAGCTGCTTTTAAGTTAACAATGAATTCTTCTTACAGATACAGGGTACAGAACAGCTCACACTGTCACTCCAACAAATTACCCTGCTGTTTATTTAAGTAATAAAGGAATTTGTTCCAAACAGTTGAGTTTTTTTCCAGCATCTGTTCTCCACATGTGGTTTGCTTCCTCAAGTGTTGATTTTTCATAGTTAAGAGACTTTTTCCTGCCTTTTATCCACCAGGCTAATTGCACTTTTATTCTTTTCTGTTTAACGAGAGCTGACATCCAGCTCAATGCCCTGTAAAACAGGAAGCGATGTAGTTCCTGTTCCAAGGAGGTAACAGTTTAAACTGACCTCAGATGAATTAGACATATGGGAAATGGACAAACCCAGCTCTGTGATTATTTGAATTTTTTTCTCTCGAGAGATGTAGTCAAGTCCCTTTGTCCTATCATCCCGCATCCTGAAATGATCTATTGCCCAAAAGAATAGTTCCTTAACCCAGCTGCCACAAACCATGCTCAGCTGTTCACAACCTCCTCACCTGAGCAAACTAATCTCTCTGCTGCTTACCAAAGGGATTCCAGATTACCTCGTACTAGGACGACTCGCTTTACACAAATAAAGCCATGATGAGCCACCTGCCAGATTCTCCATTCCGTTTGTAACACTTGCAGTTATGAACACCTGTACCAGGCACTGTGTCACACACCCCCATGAAGTTATTCAAGAGGTAAGGTCAGCCCCATACAACAACATACAGCTGCAGTAACTGCCTTCCCCCTAGACTGCCTCATCTGCCCATGGATACGCCCTCATTTATCCAGAGAGCTCTCTTGCAAATATCCCCAACTCAGAATTTTGTAACAAATTCCTATTTGTTATCTTGATCAACATAGGAACTGAGATTTCTTGAAGCAGCACATTTTCTCAAGGAAAGGAGCCATGTTCTGACCATCAGCTTTTCTTCTCACAACTCAAATTGATTATACGAAAAGCAGCAATCACTTTTGAAAATGCATATGGTATAAAGGGTGGAAGTATCATGTACTGCATTGTACCTATTTCTGACTAGGCAAAGCGGCAGGACTGAAACACAAAACTCAAGTAAAAGTTTAAAAAGAAAATCTGTGCTCCAAAACCAAAGCATTCACTCAAATTCCTGGAAGCCAGATCTGCCGAGTCAGGCATTGCTCTGCTCACTGACTCCAACTCTGACAAATCTATTTGCTTCTCTTATAGCAATGAAACATGTTTTATGTTTTTTCTTTATTATGAAAATTCATATCTGAAAGAACTACGTGAATTTTACAGAAGATAAGATATACCTGCCAACCTGACAGCATCTCTGGCTGTCAAATGATTAACACATTTATCACAGCTGGTAAAAAAAACAAAACAAAAAAACAAAAAAACAAACAACAATAGCTGCAAAGCATATTCACCAGAGTCCATGAAGAAGAACAACCCTCCCAAGCATTTTAATGTATAAAGCTGAAATTTTGCTCTCATCTGAACTGGGAGTCTGAGAACACTAAACCCTGTGCCTAGAGGATTAAGTTTTTTCTTTACACAAGGCCTTTGAAACCAAAAATTTAAACTTTGCTATGTTCAGTGACTAGCCACCTCTTGGTATCTCTAGCTACCTTTCTGCTCTCAAAGAATCAAGTTAACAGAATTGCAATAACACAAACTTCAGAAGAAAGGCTGATCTGAAGTTACAGAGGATTTTAGCTGAAGAGGTGCTTAATGCTCCTTGGTCAAGAGAGCATTATGGAGTGAGAAAGAAAACCTTTGTAAAGAGCTTTCTAAAATGGTACAAACTTAGGTAATGCTTTGAGTTATGCAACAAAGTAAGTAACAGAACTTAAAGACAATGTCAAAATCTGCTCTGTATCACAGAGCTTTGTCTACTCCCTCATCATGATGAACAGGGCAAATGATTTCTGTCCACTGTAGAATTTATTTATTCAAAGTTATCAGATTCTAAGGCTGCAGAATGAAAATGGGGGATCTGGGATTTTTAGAAAAGACCCCTCACACACACCTCACTCCCAGAAAAAGGAAAATCGGAAAAAGCATTATATCATACTTTAAAAATTCTCAGGAAGTTATGACACAAAGAAGGTGCTGGAAGTGAAGGAGTAACACAAGACAGATGTCTAAATAAGATGTTAACTGATAGATGGAGTAAATATACGACTTTGTCCTTTACTCCATCTTCTTAAATACTGCAGAAGGAGAAATACAAAATTGACTAGTTCTCTTCCTTTCAAACAGAGAAAGTAGGCTGTGCTAACCTCTGCATTAGTCCCTCTAGCTACAAACGGTAAGTGAACTAAACATCTATATTTAACCTGGGATAATGACATCATATCTGCAAGTGCCCGAACCCAAAAGTCCTGGGCGTGTACAAACCTAGAGATTTCTCTGAAGGCCAGGGTCTCAGACTTGGATATCCTTTCTCTTGGTAGCAAACAAACTCCAAAGTTATTTTTGCAGGTTTTTTTTTTTCTTTTAATATTCCTGTGCAGCTTTTTTTCCCCTTAAAAAGTGATCTCAATCTGCAGGTGAGCACATCTTAGCCAAACTTTTATTGGTATGGATTACTATGATCCATTTTAGCTTGTTTATACTTCAAAATTCATTTGCTTCTTCAATTAAACAGTAGCCAAGAATATGTTGCGTCTATGCTCAAAATTCTTGGAAAAGGCAGGTTCAGACATCTACCCAAAGCTCTTCTGGTGGTATCAGTGATTCAAAAGGAGGACAAAGCTTGCTAATGAAAGGGTATACGTGCAACTGTGTAGAGGAACAAACTGTTTTCAGTACAGAATTACTGCTGCAATCCTGCAATTCCCCTTTATTTTAACCCACAAGCCAAATGGCAAGAATTTAGGAAAAAGCAGTGGATACATTAGCAAATGTTATTTTGTAGAGTGCTAAACCTGCGTTCGTTTGACAGACCTGACTCCTATCTACTATAATCCTTTGGGTAAGTCAATAACCAAGTCCACAAGAGGAAACCTGATTCGTGTAACCAGATTGTATTTTAAGAAGTCTTCAGTGGAGCAAGGCAATATCTGTCCTATTCAACACTAAACTAATGCTTTGGAAAAGAAGATGAACAGTGGGGTGATAAAAGTTGATTTCATCCAGATTATTAAAGACGAGGGCTGAATACAAAAGCTGCAGACAGGTCTGAACACTGAGTGCCTGGACAGTAAAACAGACAGTTGAAATTCAGTATAAATAAACCAACGAATATGCAATAATTTAAAAAAAAGTTTCAGCCTCACAGTGTAGAAATAAGCACTGATTTAATATGAAAGAAATGAGGCCCCAGTTTTAAGAGATTAAGAAAACATGAGCTCAAAACTAGCCATGGTCAGAAAAGCAACTGGGTAAAGAAAAATAAAAGCGGAAAATGCTCTTGTACCTTGAAAGCTTTTTAACAGGACAATCAGAATGCAGCATACAGGAAGGATACATGGATGGCCAAAAGGTTACAAAGGCCTGTCCATGTGACACAGTTAAATAGAACATCCTCTTCTTTAGGCTGTGAAGCCTGAAGGTGATAGAGCAAGAATATAAATACCAGGAGTGCTTCAAAGCTGCTCACTGTTTCTTCTAGTAAAAAACAAAAACAAACCCACCAAAAAAACCACAACAACAAAAAGCAACCAAGAGGTATAAAATAAAGCTGCAATGTATTAAGATAAAAAGGAATAAATTTAATTCCACATGACACATAGGTAAGCTACAGAAATTCTTGACCCATGCTAAAAAGCCATCAAGGATTCAGAAAGGGACTGTACAAACTCATGAAAGACTATCCACCAAGAACTTTAGATACAAACATACCACTTCTGGCTCAAATTTGTGAGCTGGAAAAAAAGAAAATCACTGGCATCTAGTGAAGTATTCTCGGTAAACAAGTGCTCAGGCCATCTTAATATTCCTTCCAAGGTATCAACGGTCAGAAAATATAGTGGGCTAGATCAATTTTTGGTCTGATTCAGTACAGTTATTCTTACTGCTCAGCAATCTGCTAGTCATTCACACCAGATAAGCAGAATGATTGGCTTGAATTAGCTAATTTTTATTATGATTTTAGTTAAACCAGGGAAGTGGAAGTTTATGTGTAAGTTCTTCAGTCATGACACACATATGTGAGGATATGAGGTGTATATACTGGACCAAGATGTAATTTATGGAGTATCTACCGACAATGCCCGAGGAGGAAAAAAATGAATGGCTGCAGAAGCCCTTCATGACCATCTGTACAAAACAGTCAGTTCAGAGCATTAACATGAATCCCATGTTTACAAATCCAAAGAAGCGACACACAGAAGAACAGGAAAAGTATATTTAATTTTCTATTAAACTTCCAACCAGAATACATTTTCCCAAAACAGAAGTTAAAGCCTTTACATTACTGATAAGAATTTCATAGTGATCAACACCAGATTTTCTCAGGAGAAGACAGAGAAAATGTTGGATATACTCCCTCTCTGCTCTCCTGGCAAACCTAATTTTTTTTCAAGGTGAAGTATTATCAAGTTCTGTGAATCTCAAAGCAACATTCCTAGTTCCTACTTACTTCTGGATATTATGTTTATTTTTTAATTCCAAAGTAGTAATACGAAAAGTATCTTCTAGCAAATTCCTAAAGCGTATTCTAAAAAAAATGTTGTTAGAGATCCCCTTTATAAGACCATTTTAATTGAAGCAGCAGCAGATTTGTTAGAATGGAAGTCTGAAAGCATTTGTATGACCTATTACAGCTTTTAAAAAAATGCAAGTCATTTAATTGATATGTCAAACTATTTATAACCTTCCTTACTCTCTTCCCAACTAACCTGAAGAACAGTAAGCAGCCTCATTCAACTTTAAGTTTTATAAAATTTTTCATATTGATTAAAACAAAAATTGTCACAAATACCCACCATATATACCATTTTTAAGAGTTAGCGCCTTAAGCTTAGCCTAAAAATCTTTGCCACAGACAAACCGATGGAATTTATTAAGAGAATTAAGGTCTCTAACCACAGAATTTAGGTGAGAGACATCCAGTCAAACCCAACCTGTGCCATATTATTGACGATGTCTAGTTTCATTCTACTTTTCTGTCAAGAATATCAAATACTGACTGTTTACTCTAATGAGCTCAAAGTTTAGCTTTGCCTGGCTGAAGTTGTAGATTCTGAAGTTTCATTGCCATGCCCATGTTCCCAGACACCTTCAATTTGCCTTGAAAGAATGCCTAAAAAGAAAGAAAGAAAGATGGTATGAAATGCAGTACAATATATTACTACAAATGCACCCCTCCCAAAAGTTATGGACTATTATGCATGTGCAGGTCCTGGCCTGCAGCTTTATAATTCCAACAGTTCTAGCAGGTAGCTCATATTCGTCAACAAATGTGTTTACTAGTCTACCTTCTAGTGTCAGAAAACTGAGGAAGTTGTATGCTTATTATATTTGTGATACCTAAAGAGAATAAACTTGGTATTGCATGTTTCTTGTGCTGTCATAATGATGGATCTGTATACAAAGCACAGCAGAATACCCAATGTTTGATGACGACAGTTCATAGAATAACAGTTCACTATTTCAATTGAAGATGATAAAGCAATAGTGTACAGTAGATGGCACAACTGATTTCTTACTCAAATCCCCCCAGCCATTACTGATTTTGTTACTGATGAATTCGGTTTTACAAATCTAGTTTGTGGAGCAGACACACTAAAGATCTGGGGTTTTTCCTCCGGACCTTGTAAAAAGATGAACTGCATGCACTAAAATATCCAAATTGTAGATGTAAAATTGTAATTGCTTCTGAATTCCCTACATGTACATTACAACATTTCTATAACGTGTTTTACCTTCAAACTTTTCCTAGACACGCTTTAGTTTGTGAAAATTTTTATTTACCCTGTGATTACCAGACCAAAACCTTCAAAGAATGTTACTCAGAGCATTTCAAATTTAGCAGTATGGAACAGCAACTAAAAATTAACTTAAACGTCCAGTTTACTTGTACACTATGGCCGCTTTCGACAAAATAAGGAATAAAAAAACCAAATCATCATAGGCATTCAGTGGATGCTCACCTCAATTTCCATTTTTCAGCATCAAGATTACCCTTTACACTAATGCCAGCTATGAGCATAAAGCCCTCCCAACAGAGGGCCAACATTCCTCCTTTCTTAAGTGACACTGCAAACACTAGTTTCCTCCTCTTTTCTGCAAACCAAGCCTATTCTATCCCCTTCTGGATTACCTACAGGATGTCTGAGATAATATGTACCTGTTCAGAAGAGCAGATACTGTCTTTCCTGATTAATCTTACTTTGGCCTATTTGTTGAAAGAAAGTCAAGAACTGTCATTATTCAGATCAGCCACAGCAGTTTTGGAGGAGGGGATTTATTTAGATGATTTCAACTTGAACACACTCAAACCAAACAAGTCAGTCCTCTTATCGTCTCATCTTTGCTATACTTACTGTCTGAGGATTCATTTTGCCAGTCATGAGAGCTAACAGATCAGCGTCAGCCATTGTAATTGTACAGTCCGCCTTCTTATCTGTAAGACAGAGTTGACTATGAAGTTTCAAACTGAGAGATGAAACAGTAATAGAAGCTGCAACTCCATGAAGAATCTGTTGGTACTACAGGTTAGCAAAATGGTACCTGAAGTACATACAAATAAAGGTCATTATAAAAATATCACTAAGAGATCATCCCATAGCCAAGAGGCATCTGTGCCACCTTGTCGCACAGACCATCCCAACACTCAAGAAAGATGGACCTTTCTGAAAGGTACTAAGCAAATTATTTCGTTGGAAAGAAATAATAATCTACTTGTAATCAGAATTTTAATTGCAAGCACTGACAATCGTCTTAAGTTTTATCAAGCTTAAATTTGCTAGTATTAAAATCAACTCAGAATAAATGTGTTTTCCCCCGTGACACTCCGAAGATAATCATCACTGAAATTTCAGGCATTTCCTGCCCTCTCCTTCAATGGGAACAACATGTGCATTCTAAAAGCACTCATTTGAATTAATTCAAATCCAGAAGTTTTTAGGACCTTCTTACCAGAAATAAGCTGAAAAATAATTTTAATAAGCTCTGATAGAAATATAATGTATGAACCAAGGGCTAAAAACCGCACACATCATCTCCTAGAGTCATCTTCTTATTAAACTTAGCTTTTTGAAAAAATGTTGTCCATACAACAGAAAACAGTACTTTTCTTTTTGTAATAACTTAGACCGACGAATTCCAAACCAAACCCCTGTCATGTTTTTAATTAAAAGCTTTATGATGCAGGTCCATGGATATATGAGATTCTGAGGACAAGACTGTTGTCTTTTGCTTTTTATTTACATTACTAGGATGCATGACTTCAGATACATGACAAGACATTTTCATGGCAAGGGTACAAATCCTTTGTTTCCAATACTTTCATGGGGCTCCCCACCACCACCTAGTCTGTGTCTTATTTGTCTCTGTCTTTTTTAAAATGGAACATGAAGTTTATGTCAGCTGGTACAGTAATGAAATTAGTCAAGTTTTATTGCTTAACTAGCTGCAGAGAAGAAGTAACTCGATGAGATACACCAGCTTACCGCCTACCAGTGTCTCCAACAAAGCAACTGAAGAAACAACTACAAATTACATTTCTGGCCCAAATTTTAAGAGGGGAGAACAACAAAACACCTGAGGTTTGAATTATTTTTTTTTATTCTGATGCCTGTAAAAGTCATATGACAGATCTGTCTGGAGCCTCCAATAAAACATGCAATTATCTAGACAGAATTCAGAGTAGAAGACGTTTAATTCTTGGTCCGAAACATCATGGATTAAAAGTGTCAGTAATAAAAAAAAGTTTAAAATTAAGGTAGCTCTACACCTCTTTTGCTTAAGGTCACTATAGCTTCAACAGAATATGAATTTATATTCTTTTCATTTTATATGTTTTCTGCAATAATATAATAAAGTAGCACTGACCTGAATTAACTGCCACAGAGCCTTTACCATTTTTCACATCTACTATCCAAGTTGCTTCTTTCCCACCAGGACCATCTTTTATTTTGAAGGCAAAGACTCCACCAATTTTCTTGACAAATTGCTCTCCTTCCTGTAATGACCATGTAATGTGCAAATTATTTACTTAAAAATAATTTTAAAATAGTTTGAATTAAACATGAAGTAATTTAAAAACCTCTACCCTTTCTACTAACATAGAAATATCTACTTCCCTCTATTAGGCTTTATTTAAACACCCATTTAAAAAAACCCCAAACCTCTCCCTCACAAACTCAAACTATGACTATCTATACTAAAAACTATCAACTAAAAAAATTACCCCTGTCTTAACAGTCTTGTCTTGCTGTAAGTCTGACAAAATGTGATTTCTTCTTCTAATCACACTTGCAAAGCAAGCAACAAACACCAAACACAAAGTTTCCTGCGTTAGTTAGCAAGCTCCTCACATACAATCTAAAGTTGCCTTTACTGAAATACCCTTATGCAGGTAGGAACCGTCTGAAAAAAAGGCAATTTAAAATCACGGCACAGCATTGAAAGATTTCTGACGCAGTGAAATTCAAAGCTGTAACACTTGTTTCAATGAGCAGTACTAATGAAATGATTGATGCTACTATATTCCCATCAGGTTTCACACATGTTCTGTCACAAATTAAAATCTGTTGTAGGTAAAAGAAGTAGTCAAATACCTCTTGGAGTTTCTTTTCAATCTCTTTGAAGACAAAATGTGACTTAAATCCATCAACAGCTGCACTGAGAGGCACAGCCACAATACGGTCGGTGCTGAAAGGAAAAACCCATTCATTTACATACCTTTAATCACATTTCCAGTATCTTCAAATTATCATGAATAGGCCTAACAACAGCAACAACAGTCACACTAAAACACCTTAGCAGTAGAGAGCATCTATATGGTATCAAAGTGAAGCTTACTCTTTGATGGGTTTGACAGCTTGAATTACAATCATTTCAAGTATCTAGATGTTTTTGCATGTATGGACAGGACACTAATTTTATAATGAAAGTAAATCATTAATCTTGTTAAGATAAATCAGCAAACACTACTGCCACACCTTGTGTGAAGAGAGAGCAGCACATGCACTATCTCGAAGAACTACCTTTTTTTTTTTTTTTTTTTTTTTTTTGTAAAACAAATCCTCTTTTCCCTCCCAATTCACGTAGGTCTTTTAACAGTCACAAGAGGCACTAAGCATTAGTCCTGATTCTCTGGAGCAGTCATTCTGCATGGCCTCACAGTAGCATGAAATCTAATTCTTCATTTCTGCAGAGGCACCCAGAGCCGAAGTAAGTATAGAGGTGTCCAAAGAAATGGCAATTCAAGCAGCAGGAAAAACGAGTTTACAATTACTACCATCTCTTGGTAGCAGAGTTGAAAACTGTGGTGAGGTCCGATATTATTAAAGTGACAGAATCACTTAAGAAACGTTGCTAGGACTTACATTCATGTGGTACTAACACTACCCTACAAATGTATGCTAGGGTAGCAATAGTAGGGATTGTCTCATCTGAAGAAGACACATCAATTTTGCTAATAAACCAAGGCTGTACTAACAGGATGTAAAATTGTAAGGTGTCAAAAAAAAGCAGAGCTGTTTCAAAGACTAATCCAAAATGGATCAAGTTCAGCTGTCATTTACTCTGATGTACATTCTTGGCAGCTGTTACTAAAGCCACTAATTACAGGCTAGATCCAAATCCTATGATTATGTCTATGTGCATTACTGTAGAAAAAATGGTATGAAGTGTCTTCATAAACATGAAATGCCACCACCTTCCCCTTAATTACACAATACACAAACATCATTCAGTTACATAAGCAGTATCTAAACGTATTAGCCACACTGTTTCATTCCAAAGTCTGATATACATTGGTGCAACCCCTTGTGTCAGGTATCTCCCACACACAAAGCCTTTGGGAGAACTAAAGGTTTTTAAGCTTCTCCAATGTAAGATGAAACTACCTAAGAAAGAATTTTAAAAATTCCCAATACCAACAAAGGTGAAGTGAGCTGTAGTAAAGTAAGCTTCATTTCTTCAGGAGAAATATTATCTATACATGCAAAGCTTTTCCTGACAGGAAGGCATTACTTCAAGCAGTACTGCAAGGTCAACAGCATACAAAGAGCAACAGATTCCCTGTTCCATAAAATTACAGTATTTTTAAAGACAAAGCTCAAAGCAATGGGAAAATAGTATATTCCCTATAACAGCATTTCCCCCTGTGATTTAAAACTGTGTACCAACACCTACTGCCAAGTTTTGTGAGCATGTTTGAAGAGAATCCACGCTTTTTCCTGTATCACACCTATTTTCTCATACGGTCTAATCTCTTACAGATTACAGAAGTGACAGAATTATCACTTCTGACACCGTACTACAAAAAGTTACTACTGTAGCCCTTCAAAGTTTAACTGCTTCTCTCATTATCTCTTCTAGAGACTAAATTGTCACCTCCCAGGAATTGTATAGGTCTAGCTAAAAAAGCCATTAGAAATATGAGTTGGGAGGGGAATATTTCTTTCTGGAAATCCAGTACATGATAAATTTTACTGTTCACAGGTCTTTAGAGCAAATATAAAGTACTGGCATAGAGTTTTAAAACTAAAACTGTAATACCCACAACAAGTAGCTCAATCTTTCTAAGCAAAGTTGAAAGTGAAAACATACAGCGAACTGTGTATTAAAAAAGTGTCACCTGGAATTCTGGTGTATATACAAATTTTAAGTATTTTTCTCTCAATTCCTGTCCATCCTAGCATGGAACTATAACAGATTGCAAGACAGCTTCATAGCAGCGTTCTCCTCTCACTCTGAAGTATGCTACAATTGCAAGTGCAAATTTTTTACCAGGACTGGACGAGTAACATGCCTGAATTCTAACGAGTACTTAGAATACCACATGTAACACACACAGCTGAAAGCAATTCTCCATGAAACCAAACTAGTAACAATTTTAGCAGTGAAAGCAGTAGGTACCTCTGTTCCCATGGATGTCTTCCTTTTTTGGCAAGTCCCTAGTTTCAATTAATTCATTTTAATGTGGCCTGGTTTGTTCTTGGAAGGGGTTTTTTTGTTTGTTTTGCTGGGCTTTTTTCCTCCAAACATTAGACTTTTCCTTACAGGAAATCATGTGAGCCATGTTTATGGGCCAGTTTGCTCTTTTCAGTAACTTGTAACTCACAGCGCATACTGTTTATCAGAAACAAGACACTGCGTAAGTTATAATCTCTGTATACACCTGCAGCGCTGCAGGTACACAACAGTTCCAACTGCTGCACAAGTTTTAGTTTACAGCGCAATTTCTTCCTTGCACAGAGGCAAACGCTAATTCCAAATACGTTTTGAAACACAAAGAGATGGGAGCACAGTCAGCACAAAGTGAGCTTAGTTTACACCACTACTGAACCCACAGTGAAAGTTTCCCATGAGAGCATAACCAATACCTGTACACGAATGCTGAACGAGCATTTTCATTCAGCAGCGCAGTTTCTTGCGCTCTACAGAGATACAAGCTGAAAGCTGACTATTTTGTGAGCTCTTTCAGTACACACGGCGCTCTTTTTCTCCTCGAGAAGTCAGCCACACGCAGCGGGTAGGCCCTCAACTGCCCCACCACCTCTTCTCCCAGGGCGTTAGGCAGTGGAGTGGGGCCATCTCGTCTCGCTGAGGCGCTGTGGGCAGCCCCAGCCCCGCGGGGCTCTCACCTGGCGGCTCCGGGGAAGCCCATGCCGTAGAGGGTCACCACCACGGCCCCGCCGAGGCCCAGGTTGTGCTGCAGCGCGACCTTTGCCCCGGGGACCTGCCTCCTCCCGGCCAGACCGCGCAGCTGCCAGCAGAGTTCGGCGCACTGCGCCAGGCCTGAAAAATCGAGCACAGAGCGCGTGGGCCCCGCTGCCAGCCCGGCGTGGGGCGAGGGCGACAAGGAACCGCCCCACGTCCCTCCACCGACGGCATCCCCCGCACCTTGCCCTCCTGCAACACGAGAGGCGATAACAAAAGGGGATTTAAAAACGAACAAGCAAGCTTTGCTCTCCCCGCCGGCCGTAAAGATGGCCGCTTTAGTGCCGCTCTGGCAAAGACACTTTGGGGAAGCTGCAGAAAAACTGGTCGTTACAGGAGCGACGCACGCTCTTGAGGGTGCGCACGTTTGAGACTCAAAGTTACCCGTTTTTCACATTCCTACAAGACTTCATAGAGGGAAGCCAGAAGAAGCCGTTCCCTCAGAGGTCACGTGCCTGGGTGGACAGCGTGAGCCATCTTAAAAATGCCGGTTCTCCAAAGGGTCCTTGTAAACAGACTTCTTGGCATTGACTTTTCAGTCTCCAAGACACAAATACGTGACAATCGTAAGCATTTTAAAGTAGTTTTATGTGCTATGGCATCGTTATAGCAATGCTAAAGATGCCCCAGAAGCTTAAGTAGAGCTCACCTCACCATCTCGGCACATACCTCAGAGTGGAAATTGGAATTTAAAAAATTAGTTTGCTAAATCTAACAAACATAAAAATGCAACCAAAGACCTTCTGGAAAACTGTTTTTTTCTTTGCAATACAAATGACTACTATTAAAAATGCCTGTAATAAGTATGTATTACAAGAGTAGTAAGTATGTACTACAAGATAAGAAAAAGCCCTAGAATACATAACTGAATTGTGATTCAAATTAGTACTGGGCATAGCTGGTTCAATGAAGTAAGGCATATACTACAGGCATATTCCATAAAAACTTCCTTCCCTAATAAGATATTAAGTGAATACATGCAATAGGATTTGATAAAGCTAATTCTTGACAGCTCAGATACCTAGGAATATGTTTTCTTGGGAGGCTCAAAATGAAGGTGAATCCCCTTTCATTATAGCCCTGATTTTCAGAATGCACTTACCCTCGGTCTGCCCCTACTATTCTATCAGCTATTTCTGCAATTATGATCGAGTTCCACCACATGCACATTTCTTCTTCCCCCCATCGTCCACAGACCTCCATCCCTTCCTCTCCCTTCCCCTAGACAACTGTGTAGGCCTTTGGGCAAGGCAGAGGAGGAATCTGCATTTTATGCACCGAATTTTACGCATTGCCAAGTGAAACATTATGAAGAAGATGCGTAAGAAGTTTTGTAATTCCAGTCATAGATGGGAATTAATAGATTTCATTTACACTCTCTCAGCCTCAAGGAGAGAATGTGTACCCTGGCACATCCTGCCCTGGAATGGTTTGGAAGCTTAAGATGACTGATATGACCTCTGATTAGCATACAGGTAGCCTCAAGACTGCTTTATAGTGAAATTAAACTGACAATCTGTAGACATGTCATTTTCTCCATTTCAGTGACTCTTCCCCCCCCTCCCTTGGCAATAGAGAGAGGCATGAATACCAGTAATTGCCTCTACATTTATCGCTGTGTAACTGCCAAAAATTTAACACATACCTAGCAATGGAATACTCTCATCCTGTTACAGATACCCACAGTCTCATTTACCCAGAATATTTTTCTTCCAAAGTTTCCTAATACTCCCGCCCACACACACGCTAACTGCAGATTATCTAGCTGTTACAGCTGTTTAGATTAAGGTTTGTTGTTTTACAAGGTTTCCTCTTTTCCAGTGTTCTGACAACTTCTCATTTCCAAATAAGGAAGGTGAATTATCTTCACAAATCCAAACACATTTAATCCAAGAGCCATCTCATTTGGAAGCAAGCGTAGCAATTTAAAGAAAACAAAAAAACAAAACAAAAAAAAAGGAAAACCTACGTTGCTGGGAAATGGTGACTAACTGAGCTTCTGTTGTAAGCATCAGATAAATATTTCGACATCCAAGGCTTAACAGAAATAGCTTTTATTACAGCTAACAAGGGTACAGGCTATTCAGATGCAGTAAAAATCTCCAAAATCTGAATTTTAAAGGATGACAACATACGAAAATGGTTATTCAAACTACAATCATCAGAAGTTGTACTACTAAGCAATTATTTAGGAAAAAAGTTAAGCTGTTTCGCAGGTTGCTTTAACAACAATAGAAAAAGTAGCACCAGAAGATTAAACAAGTGCTAATGATTAAATTCACACTCCAACTCTTTTGGTTTGAGCAATCCTGCATGGTCAACCTGCCCTAATGCTTGCATTCCTTGGAAATGAGAACCAACTCCAGAGCTTCCTTCTGGTCTTAGGAAGCCCTCATGTTTCATACAGACAAATACAAGTGGGAAGCATCTGCCTGCTCAAGAGCTGTATCTCGTATCTAACTGGCATGACCAAATGAAATGTTTTTTTTGCATACCTGTAGCACCAAGTGGATGTCCCTTTGAAATCAAGCCACCACTAGGATTAATAACCCATTTTCCTCCGTAAGTATTGTCTCCTCTGTCAATCAGGTCACATGCTTTTCCTATAAAACAGTATTTATAAAAGAAAAATGTTCTTTTTTTGGGTTTAAGTGATTTTTCAATTCTGTTGTCACTTACTGAAGATGCTGCACATCAGTCAAAACCTAGGTAATAGTACACCACAGATTTTACAAAGAGCAGATTGAAATTAGCCAAACTATATTAATGAGACTTGCTTATACTACTGGAGAAAGCATAACATGGAAAAGAAGTAAAAGCGCTAGTGTTTGATACAACAGCTTTTTTAAATCTGCTGTTTTGTTGATATACAGTATTATGATATAATTAATATAATGAAGCTGTTCATTATTTTATTAATGAAACTGCAGTGATAATTATGGTTTTTGTAAAAGAGGGGTTAGTCGTAATTTGTGACCCCCAGGACACAGAGGCCCTGGTAAACGCCAAGCTGAACATGAGCTTTTGCCACAAAGGCGGCTAACAGTACCCTGGGCTACATTAAGACATTAAGATAGTAAATAAAACCACTCATAAGACTAATGCTTAGAATTGCTTCGCTTTCCAGACTATTAGTTCCCATGCCTTCAGCAGACAGTTCTCCCCTTTAACCAGTCCCTTACTCTTTTATTCTTGTACCAGCTTCTTCAGCCTATGTTATTAATGTCAAAGTCTAAAAAAGATCTGCTACATTTTCTGTATTTTTAACTTACTTCTGCCATTAAATGAGAATAGCAGGTTAGTCTTGTACATCTAAATCCACAATATGGTTCATGCCATTTCACTGATCTCTATGTCTAATTAGTCTACTGTTCCAAGATAAGTTTCACATACTATTAAGGTCAGACTGAGTGAAAGGTGGTGAGAATTGCACTATTAAATTACCATACACAAGACTTACTGGTCAAATAGACAAGTACCATCAGGATTCTTCTGTATCTTCAATTAAAGGAATAAAGCTGAAAAGTTTAATGTACCTATCTAAATAATGTCAAACATTTACCATTTTTACTGCAGACACCACAAAAACACAGCAAAGACGACAGTAAAAAGCAAGCACTCAAAGGCAAATATTTGAAGACCTACAAACACATGAAAAGTCTTCGTGAAGATCTATGAACTTCTGTTTCAGTGAGAAAGCTTAGACTTAATACAACACACCACCTAGTGATAGAGTATGATATTTTCTCAAAATTAGTTAAAAACAAATTAGAGAAAGGTTACATCAGATGATTATTTATGCAAAGCAAGAATACGTTTAGAGTTTAAATATATAAAATACTGAAGTAGCAGTTCAATGCATTATTTATTCGAAATCAAACAAAAACCTCTTCAGTAGAAAATTTTAATGGTTTGACTAACATGCATAGAACTAAACTCCACTACCATTTAACTTATTGTAAATCCACTCACTTCAATGAAATTAAACTAATCTGGACAGATTGTGCATTGTTATACAGTTGACTTCAGACACATGTTCACAACTTGCCAATAACTCTGTATTTTCAAAGGCAAAAATGTTTCAAGATTTTTAAAGAAGTCCTATCAAAGGGTAAGTAACTTGGTAAGGCCCTCTATAGGTAATTCTTGTCCGATTTTTATCTTCTTAAAAGGAAATACAAAGATGGAGGGAAATCTTGGAGTAGGTAAGTATATAGCCCTGAAAAGGGGGCATAATACTGAGAAAGATCACAAGAGCCTTTAATTTCCTTGCTCTGCTTGCTTAAAAGAGCCATCCCTGCACAAGCTAGCCGTATGATTTCTCGTAGTTGTCCAACACTTTAATTTGCCTTGTATATTTCTTCAGAAATCACAGTAACACGCTCATTTGTTAAACTAATTCTAGAGTTTGCAGGTCTTCCTTATGTTACTACAGTGGTAACTTGCTTTTCCATCTTATGAGGTTAGCTAATAAGACTTTCAAATATAGAAGATCTGTCTAGTAAACAACTCCACGTTCTAATTATATGAACAGATAAAAAGGTATTTTCAATGCTTTCCATGTTAATAAAACAATTATCTCCATTGATGTATTACCTTCTGGACAGAGTCCCAGAGCTTCGTAGGTAATGAACTCATTAGCTGAGAAACAGTCATGAAGTTCGATCACATCAACATCCGTAGGTTTTAGGCGTGCTTTTTCAAAACATTTTTCCGCAGCTTTTTTAGTCATATCATAGCCAACCTGCCAGAAGAAATTGTACGTTAAAATATCATTAAAGAAACATAGCTAGCAATTTCATTTCTACACTTAATTTTAAACATGCTTCTATATATCCTGTAAGTGAAAGTAACCTGTAGGAGGTAGCATTCTAACTTATTTTAATGCATCACATATCACAGCATTTAATATTCATGCAGTATGGATTGTATAGAAAGAAATAATACATTCTAAGTCTCATTGTTGGCATGTGGAAACTTTGCTGGGGAATATCCTATTTTCTCAACCTTGCCCACAAGCCAAATTGCTCCTTTGCATGACTCAGACCAACAGCCTTGAAACAAATCCTCAAACTGTCTGGCTACCTTTTTC